TTCCCTGGCCCCATCCTGCACTACAGTGAGTTTGTCCACTGCCCTCTCAGCCTCCTCCAAAACAACAGAGACCTCTGCCCCTAAAGGATCCTCTAGTACCAGAGTGACTAGCCCTTCCCTGACAATGGTACAAGCTGCTTCCCATTTCCTGCAAAGTGTCCATTCCATGAAGTCTGCGAGGATGAACTTCACCCTGAGAATCCTGAATGGTAAGAGCTTTCTGATCTTGGGCCTCTGAGGCAGACTGGGGGTGGGGGGCAAAACTGTACCTTAAACTTGATTCTGTCTTGTTTGGCCCTGCGAGATATTGTTGGTCCCTCTTGACTAATACTCCTGTAGTGTGTAGTACCCTCCTGCTTACGAACAGAACATTCTCCTGGATGTTCTCATCTAGATTAGCTTCTTCATGACCACTTTTCAGCTAGTGGTGCCCACACTTGGGCGGGGGAGGGGGAGATGCCTAATTACCTACTTATGTAGCTTCTTGTCCAGAGTCCAAGTTCAATTTGAAGACCACTTGGGGCCAAATGACTCGATGTGCTTGGCACGCCATGCAGTCAAGAGTTGTAGTATAAACTGATTTTTTTGTAATGCAAATCGGGGGTGTCAAATATACAGCCTGTAGGCTGGATCTGGCCACTGCAGCCCCATAATCTGGCCCCCAGTGTTGCCCCACTGACTCGCATGCTGTGCCATGACAGACTAGGCCAGTGCTACCTGTGGTACACATCGGGACTGACATCCTAAACTGTGCCACCTGCAGTATTCACTGGGACTGTGTGCTGGATTAAGTTTGTAGGCAGGGAGGCTGTGGACCTGATCCAGCCTGTGTACCAGCCTCATGCCACTTGTCTGGCCCATGGGGTCAGATGAATCTGACACCCTTGCCCTAAATGTGGAGAAGAGCAATACCTAGTCCAGTTGCTCTGGAGAGCAGAAGAGGTGACTGACACAGGTCACTAAACCAAGTGTTTTGTGGCAAACTGCCGATTCAAGATGCAAGCTCCCCACCTCAGTGCCCTACAGTATGGAGATGGGCTTGTATGTGTAATAGTTCATTTCCTGAGAAATCGGACCTATGGGACGCTGACTTGTGCTGAGTGGATAAGTTAAGTATGGGGGATCTGTTTCAAGTGCTCCATCTTTGCTGGGGACAAGTGGAGGACAGTAACTCAATCTCCCCTCTTCTACCCACAGAGGACTTCAATATTGTAGACAAGACCCCGGTGTTCAGAACTGGATCTCCCATTCATATTGAGGCCAGAGTGGCAGCCAATCCAAATGTCTCCCCAAAGATCTACGTGGATGAGTGCTATGGAGCCCATTCAAAGCGTCTGAGCCATTCCAGGAGGGTTTATGTGATTGTGAATAACCGTGGGTCAGTGGAAGTGAGGCGGGGAGGGTCTTGAAGAAAAGAGGTTACTGCATGAGTTGTGTTTTGTTTTGGGTTTTTTTTGTCTTAAGGGCAAGAAGACCCAGCATGGTCTGAGCTGGGCAGGCTTGTGGTAGATGGCTTCCCCCAGCTGCTGGGTTCATATATTACTAGGGCTGGGCCATGGGCTCTTGCCTGTAGGCAGAACTTGAGCACTGGTTCTGGGACTGTTTTTGCTGTAGTCCTCAAAGTGTCAGAAGGATTCAGTGGATCTTAAGATGATGAAAGCAGGTGCTCCCCTAATCTCATCAGATTGCTGTACAGACAGCTAGTCTGTATATACATGTATAACCTATTTTGGGGAGGGTCCCCTTCCTTCAGTAAGGATTCCAGGTTCCTTATCATATGCACTCTTGGGTTAGGATGTGGGCAGAGGAGTTTTGTCTCTCTAACCTTAATGTAGCTGTGAATCACTATGG